AGACAGAAATGTAATTACCACGATCAAGGTGCAGATACGTAGCAAGGAGATCGGTAAAATAATCCATGTGACATCAGGGGTTCAACCGTAATATTACAAAGCTACGAGAATACTTTTTGTGCGCAAAAGAAAACAAAAATAACGGTTGAAATAACGGATTATTTTACCGATCTCCTTGCTACGTCTTTGGACCTTGATCGTGGTAATTACATTGCTGTCTATGGGAGGGTCAGAGAGCTCTCAGAATTCATCAAAAATATCTTAATTTGTGTTCTGAAGATGAATGAAGGTCTTACGGGTTTGGAACAACATGAGGGCGAGTAATTAATGACTGAATTTTCATTTTTGGGTGAAGTAACCCTTTAATGTGTTCTTTCTCGTATGCCACAATGTTCAGATTTGATAGGGAACAGCAAAAGTTTAACCTTTTGCCCCTTTACAGAAAATAAAAGCATTTCAAAATAAAGGTCCTGTTTTTTGTGATCTTTCCCATTCACTCTGAATGGCCAGTCATTTTTGACCGGGAACACCACAAGTGTGACTTTGTGCCATTTTGTACAAAATTAAAGCCTTTCAAAACAAACTCCCTGATTAAACATAAAAGCACACTATTGTGATAAACAGTGCAAATTTTCATCAGTTTTTATTTAATATTGTGAAAATTATTCATAAACAATGCTTTTTTCACTCAAAAAATTAGGTGCCTACTCTCAGATAAATGAGGCCTACGATTAATCAGAAGCAAATATAAATACAAAACCAGTCCTAAATGAAAGAAAAGAAGTGACAAAAAGATTGAATCCAATATTTGATGATAATATAGCATAATGAGTGATTTATAAGCAATCTTTTGAGGCCGGGTCATTTTTGCTCTGGAACATCAAAAGTGTGATAGGGTTTTGAAAACAACACAAGGGTTAAAAAGTTAAATACTGTACATGTATAGGCTATTTTTCCTATATAATTATGTTTTACATACACATATTATCACAGAACATGCTAACCTGTTACTTATTTATAGTCAACGTTTAATTCTCATCATGCAGTGTATTATTACTACAATTACTACTGAACAATTACTTCTGAAAATCACAAAAAAAATGTGTAGTAAATAATCAAAATTATTGCCAGAACCAAAGCAACAGCAACAGCAACAGCAACAACAATAACAACAATAGTATTTACGGATAAATCACAAAGCCCGCAGAAAGAAATGGCTCTCCTCTGAACCGGCTGAGGCACTGAGTCATCAGGGATTAAGAGATCACTTTCTGCATCCTGTAGATCTAGTAGGTCTGTAGATAGAAGTGGATTTCCATGATCTTCTGCAAAAATACAAAAGACAATTTATACAGAATATAATATCATAGACCTTTATTTATTTTAGAATTATAATTATTAATTACAGTGTCACACTGTAAAAGTGAAAATTTCACTGAATAATGAAAACTGTAAAGCTTGGAATACTTACTTTTCAAGTAATAATATAAAGTCTGCTTCTGGAAGGAAAATTAATACATCAATATATCTGTATTTACTGATATATATATATATAAATATATATAAAGAAATGTAAAGAATGGTTAAAATGGATACTACATATTAAGGACACAAACTTAAAACGGTGTTTTATTAGACAAACTCATCAAATAGTGCCTTACAAAACAGAAACTATGTTTTTTTAAAACATCTGTTTAAGCTGCTCAGTAGCCTACTGTAAAGGGCTGTATCTAAAGGCAGGAAATCTTCAAATCC